GCACAGGCTCCAGTGAAGAGGTGTGGACGGTTTATCATAGCTGCACAATTTAGCCCAGACAAAATTACTCAAATCTTTTTACTTTTGTTTCTTCTTTCTTTATTTTTTCTCAGCTGTATTGGCTGTGGTCTACCTACCACAAGTCAAGAATTACCCTTAGTCTGTTTGTTTTCTTGGTTTCTTAACTTTAGGCCAGCTCCCTTGATGGTGGAGCATATGTGTTTGAAATGGGTTTTTGTGTGCAGTTTCTCCCACATGTTGCAGTTTCCCTGATGGAGCAAATGTTATTGATTATAGCTAAGGAAACCAATGTCGACCAAACCTTTTCGAATTTAGAGCTTAATGCCGATTCTTTTCATTAGGGTGGACATCAGTCTTGATTCTTATTCCATTGACAGCCATTAGTGCCTTTTAAAAAGCACTGGCGGAGGGCTCCATTGGTGTTTAGCCCCTGTGTGACCTGGTCAACCTGGTCATTTTCTCTTCTGTATCCTGTTTGATGTGAACCTGACTTATTGATTCAGTAGCAGTTAGCTTAGGTTTGCTTTGGTGTGGTTCAAAAGCAGTTTATACAAGAAAGGTCTATAAATGGGATAATTAAAATGCCCTTTTTTGTATTTTTAACCGCTATGTAGTTGTTAAATACAACTAATGCTGTATCTGAAGCTGGTTTCTTATATTGATTTGTATTTTTCATTTTAACTTTGAATTTCTACTGATACAATAATGATAACCTGAAGGTTAGCTTTGCACAAATGGCTCATATATATTTCTTATGGGTGGCCTTACTCTTCAACTTTCTTATAAACATCTGCTAATGTTGACAGATGTCTGTGTACATAGCTTTGTTTCATCGAACTATTCCTTTTTAGTATAGGGGTTATTACCTGTACTTGTGAAAAAAGACAGCAGATTGTTGTTAGTCAATTTGCTGTTATTTTAGTGAATTGTTTAAAATAATTACGCTTAACTGATATAAATTAATAGATCACTTTTGCTGTAGAGTACAGTTTTACACCATCAGGCCCACTGTGGCGTTTTTATGTATTCTTTTGTTTACTGTAATGCTAGATCAATAGAGTGCTTTCAGCCTTCGATTAAAACTGTCATATAGTCCAAAGATCAAGTCCAGACTGTGACTAAGCATGTGACCCAGTTAAATCTTGGAGGAAATTTCTCCACACTAGGAAAACTGATCCCTAAGGAAAAGACAGCTGTAGAAGTATTGATATAGTTGTATTTAAGCATTTGTTCACCTTTTTTTATGATTTCTGAATTACCAAAGGAAGCTGGAGTTTGTTTATAAACATTTTAGCAGCATTTTAACCTTCTGTATCTTCATTGAACTCTGATCCATCTTTTATTTCCAAATATATGTAGTGTATTTTATCTTTACACTCAGTTTGCTTCTCAATGAGAATCTGTTTCCACTTCTGTAAGTTCAGCACTCGCATCATGCCAGTGGTTTCCCTAGCTAGCCTATTTGGTATGTGCAGTATAAAGCAGAAGTATTGATCTTAGCTAAGTGTTTGTTTTTAACTTTGAATTTTGCAAACAGGGGTTCTACATCAGATTTGCATATTGGTGAGCAAAGCATGAAGGAGCATGCCTTTTGTTGCTGTTTTGTCTTGCAGCAAAGAAAAAAAAAAAAAGCTCAAAGTATTTTGGTTCCTTATTGGCTTAACAGATATTTCCCAAATGACTCTTGACAAAAAAATTTGTTCCAGGCCCTTTAAGTTAGATTCCTGACTTGTTTGTTTATACAAAAGTCTTTAAAAGATGCACAGATATGTCATTGGATTTATTTTTTTAAACCTTTGAGTCAATCTGGCAGATGTTCAGAAATCCCTTATTAAATTGTAACCTCAGCCTTAAAAACGTGTCATTGTCATGCTGTGGCAGAAGCTATAGCTGCAGTAAACTGAAACACGGATTTCCCCAAATTATTTTATGGTACGTTTTGTAATACATCTCTATAATTAACACATTTTTTAAGGCAGAATAAATAAAAAAGTATTCCCAAGGTATAATGATGCCACTACCATCCCTTTACTGTATTAAGAGTTGGGGTTTTCTTAACCCAGAATAATGCATTTGCATGTGTTTTTTTTTTTTCCTTGCATTGAAATCTATACATCTGAAGAGATTTGTATTGGACAAGAGAGTGGTGTTTTATTCTGTGTCCCTTTCCTACCTATTAAATGTCTAATTCATTAAAGGTTGCGACAAAACAGCCACATAATGCTGCTTTTTTTAAAAGAACACTCCAAAGAATAATTAACCCAAATTGGTACTTGAATATTAAAGTGAAATAACCATGGGTTTGAAACAAGAGGTTGACTTGTCATATTTACATCAAATCTCTCAGATTTGAAAACAAAAAAACCAAAAACACGATCAGCAGAGCTGTGTGGCCAGAGCAGAATAAAGCATTTTCCCCTCAGAACAACACATTTCCCCTTCTGAACTCTTGAGTTGAACTGTCAGGCAGCTGCAAGCTGCTGAATGAGCTGAAATGTGCAGTTGTTGTGCTGTTGTGTCGGGGCCCTCCAAGCTGCTTAGTAGTGTGCAAGAAAAAAAAAACAACAAAATGCTTTGAAGACATTGAAGCTTTAGGCTTTCAGACATTGTTTTTATTCTAAACGTAACCAAACAATGTTGTTTACACCACTGTCCTCTCCCGAAGGCTTAAAAATACCCACTTTGGCTATTCCCTGGATTTCATTACAATACATAATGAAAAAGAAGAAGGCTCGATTACAGAACAAATGCTATTTGCAGTCCTCCCTTGCTGCCACACCATTTAAACCTGTACTCCTAAAAGGCTTTTGTGTGACACCAGTTGATTCCCAATGTGGAGAGCTTATTCCAAGCGTTGCTGTTTCTCTCAGCAGAGAGAAGTGGATGATGTGCAAAGGTTTCCAGGCGTTATTGTCTTGCAGCAATGGCCTGAGGGACTCTCTGGACTAAGACCAAGGTAAGAATGGTAACCACACCACATCTTTTGTAGCAACTCTTTTGCACAATGTCTTTACAATTTTGTCAGAAAAACGCATAAGCCATTGACATGCTGGAAGTATTGAAGCTACAGACTTTTGCATCATCCAACCATGTGAGCCTGTAAAGATTAACTTTTGTGGTTTTGTTCTGTTACATTGGTTTTACAAACCCTAGTTTGCTTTGCGGTTAACAAAGAGGAGCTCTCTGTGTAAACGACATTTGTAATAAACTGTTTCATGGGAGAATTGTTTTTCACAGATACCAACAGTTTTGGGACTGATCTATTTTATTCACAAGGCTTTTTCTGTACTCGGTCGTCTTGTATGTTATTGCAGGAGCTGCAATGATGTCCCCTTTTTTTTAATTTTTTTTTTTTATAAATGTTCCTATTTTTCTGTGTCTAAGAGCTTTAATTTTTAATCCATCCATCTATAACATTTGTTATCAGGAGAAATTGTGTCATCTGGAGGGTCATTTTCTCACTTCAACAGTTTCCTAGACCAGTCCAGCAGTGCGAATGTATCCTAAGTTTTGTTTGGTGTTTCTTTACTTTTCTCATCATGGTAGTCCATCGGTTTTTCCATGAATTTGTTTCAACCAGGTGGCATGCAGTTTAGTGCCATGTATCCCATGCAGTATGAGTAAAATCAAGTAATTCTGCTTCTGAAATCAAATACAGGGACTTTAAACCACACCACCAGTCTGAATAGCAGATATAGAACTTTTTTTTTTTACCATAACCAGTATGCAACTAATTTATTCTCATCAAATATAAGAAGAGTTTGATTTTATACATTCTAGCAAAGAAATCTAAGATTGTTGGGTTTGAAAGAACTTTATTGGCCAAACTGTGGACATTAAGTAAAGAACAATGTTTAAATATCTATACAATCAGGGATCAGTTATTTCAAAAAGCTTGAAATTAGTTTGAAATAAAAAACTGAAGGAAGAAAAGATTTAAAAATGCAGAGGAAATAACCAATTTCTAGTGTAGACGTCTGGTTGCTATTGTAAAAATGGCAGCGCACTGCCCCTGCAGTAAAGTAACTGGAAATAAAACCTTTTTTTAACACCAGTTCAGATAAATTATTTTATATCCATTTAAAACTTTCCTAAAATATGCTCCTATTTCAACCCTTTATCCTGAAAGTTGACCTGAACTCAAAGTGCAACTGAACACGTGCTGTGAAATATGCTTGTAAAACAAGTTGGCAGGCCCTTCTATTGTAAACGATAAAACTATAATAAAAATGTTTGCAGCTAGTGGCATTTTACAATAAGATATTTTATTAGTTTTGATTTCAGATTTAAGAACAAAAAATTGCAAGCTGACATCACTCAGTGAAGCCCAAGAAGTGTATCGGTTAAAACATTTTAAAAAAAGGAGTCTTTGTAAATTGTGACTTAAATGGTGATTAAAATAAACAAGCTTTTCTGGATATTTGCAACATTTCCAACTCTCAAAAGTCTTGTTTTTTGTAAAACAAACTTCAATGACTTAATTAGGTAATCAATCATTGAAGAAAACCTCAATTTAACTTGACGTATCATCTCCTTATCAGGGATGTTCGATATTTATCGGACCGGATTTGGTGGAATTTATCTGCCCGATAGGTAAAATTTTCCAATAAAAATAGCCGATAAATTGATTAAAATTGGTGGTATTTTATTCAGGCAGAGTAACCCCAAAGCAGGACAAGACCTGTGGATTTTTCGCTCCTAACTATCAGGACCCAGGCTTGGCTCTGTTATGGCCTGACTATAAATAAACAAACAAGTGTGTTCGTTTTTTTCTGTATTATCATATGACAGCAGCATTGCAGTTTGCAAAATCTGTTCAGCAAGGATTTCGAGAGGAGGAAAGAAGGCTTCGGGTTTTAACACAACAAACCTAATAGCTCACCTGAAAAATCATCATCGTGGCGAAACAACATGGAAAGAATATGAATCAGCTGAGGCACCAGCGGTGCTAAGGCTAAAAACAACAATAGGATGGTAGATGTCTTCATTCAGAAGGCGTTTGAAAGCTGTAACAACTTTTCAAGAGAGTGAAAAAGCTAAAGCTATTAACGAAAAAGTGATGGAATTTATAGAGCTCGAAAACAGCCCTTTTCATCAATAGAGAACCTGGATTTTCGGGTCTCTGCCTGCTCTTAATGATGTTGTTGCAACACGTCTACAACTTGATCAGCAAGAACGGACTGCACGAAAGTTTTACCACGGACCTATAGATGTCAGATGTTAGCATGTGAAACTCAGTGGTTGGATCAAGATTTTAACATGCAAAGAGCAATGCTAAATGCCCAAGGTCTATAGGGTCTCATGCATTCAGGCAACGTTTAGTTGAATTTACACATCATTTTTGAGGAAACACTTTTATTTAAATTGTCTGTTACCGACGCTGACAATTTCATGTTTTAAAATATTTGGCTTTGCTCAACAAATACCATTGCAGATTCAGAACATTTTTTAAGGGATGCCCTTTTTTTCTTTGAATTTTGCTGTTGTAATTTTTGAGGATGCATTCTTTTTGATTGCATTTTCTGTTACTAAGTGACTGTTGAAGCATATAATCTTATATTTGAAAAATACTGGACTTCACAAACTATTGGTTGGTTCAATAATTAATTTTCAAGGGATGTTCTTTGTGTTTGAATTGAATTTTCTTTTGCTGCTGTTAATTAGTGCAAAAGAACACTGTTTTGTGTGATGATGCACAAAAAAATTGAAGGGCCAAAATCTTTTGTTTTCTGTTATAGATAAGCCAGAGCTACTAAATATTTTGTTTTTCATGGCTTTATCTTCCACAAGTCCCGTATCATGCAAAGATTATATTGAATGTGAACTTCTCAGAATCGGTTTTGGCCATGAAAAGGTATCAAATTGGTTATCGTATCGGTTGAAATTGTTAATATCATGCATCACTACTCCTTAAGTTTGCATCATTTTCATAGTCATCCAAATGTTGCTAAAGGTACTGATGATTATGAAATATATTGCGGTTTGAGGATCCTTTATTGTAATAACTTTTTTTTTTTTACTACTTCAGATGAAATTCTAAGATTGCCACTCCAAAATCCATATGCAGTACTCAACCAATGTATTTCCAAGGATTTTTCTGACAGTAAGATTCTGTACCGTCTGCTTCTCATCCTGCGACATCCTGAAGGTTCTGCCATGATTAAAGATTGATGAGAGTGATCAGCTTTCATTTGGGGGGGGCCTTGTTGTTGCTCTCTGCCACTTTAGGACCATTACCTTGCAGTGATTTCAGAAAGGAGAAAAACTTGAGTGGAACTACGTTGTACACAATATGAACAGCTTTACCCTTCTGAAGATTTTTTGCAGGTTTGAATTCGAGCCTGTTTTTGAACAGTGGATACTCAGCTTAAATTCTGATCAAAGCTAAGAAAACTTTTCCACTTGAGGAGTTCTGGATAGAACATATTGACAGACGAAAAAGATTTTTGGAATCTTAGAGCAGTAATTATATCAAAAATCTTGAAATAATATTTTGCATTTAAGTGGGTTGCACTGTCAACTAAAGGCATGTTTTAGAGTCTCTATACTCAAGTTAGTGATTAATCGATCAGTTGAAACGTCAAAATAGTTGACGATTAATCCACCTTATATGGTTAAACAAACCCCCATAGCGCATTCTTGGAGAACAGTAGCCAAATAGTGCCTTATTAAGGCTTCCAGTAGGGCTGAAGGATTTTGGCAAAAATCTAAACTGTCAAAATTTTTGAACCAGTTTTTCAAATTTTTTCTGTCAGCTACAAGTTATTACAAGTGTTACTCCTCTAGAGATAATCAAGGCTCAACGTCGTTCTTTTGGTTTTAACAGCCATTTATTGTGGACTCGTCTTATAAAGCCCCCAAAAATGCTGTCAGAACTAAGAAGGGAAACTGAAACCCAAATTAGCTCAAAACAAATATAAAGGTTTACACAAATAAATCCAAGTAAAACAAAGTCGTACCTCATTGGCCGCATAAACTCCAGCGGAATAAAGATAACTTAAACAGCTTTTCTCAGAAAACCAGTCTTTAAGCTTTCTGGTGAAACTTCTTGAAGAAACGGGTGCAAAAAAAAAAAAAAAAGAACTGTGTCAATCAATCTTTCCTATGGGCAACAACGTGACATGCGGAACAAAAAAAAAAAGGTTCCTCCTTAAATTTTAAGGAGCTTTTTAACCAACGTACACAAACAACATAAATTTATAGAAAGTTATTTATTTATTTATGATTGAACTAGGGCTGCAACAACGAATCGATAAAATCGATAAAAATCGACTTTTAAAAGCGTTGGCAACGAATTTAATCATCGATTAGTTGTGTCGCGCGATTAATGCGTCATCCGCCGCCGCCGTCATCCTGGGGAAGAAAAAAAATATGGCGGAGCGAGTCAGCGCCGCAGTTGCAGTGTTGCCAACTCAGCGACTTTTCAGACCCCTCCAGCGACTATTTTTTTAAAAAGCGACTAGCGACAAATCTGGCGACTTTTTACGGTGTCACTGGCGGCTTTTGGAGACTCTTACGTGAAAGCATGTATCGTTCGTACTCTTGTCCTCCAGCGGCAGCTGCTGCCGTGGGGCGCCTCCCCCATCCCAACGCCTTTCTCCCTCTCCCACAAGAATCCCTCTCAGCGCTGCAGTCCGAGCCGCAGGATTTTAGTGAGGAGTTTACCCTCAGCGTCCAGACTGCAAATGAAGCGCGCATGCCCCGGGATTGACGGCACAAATTGATCACAATAGTTAAAATAGCCTGCGCTTTGTAAAGTGAAAAAAGTCGTAACATGCAACTTTTGTAAAAACAAATAAACATGGCACGGAAGCACCACTGTTATGACGCAGCACCTGAAAAGAAAACATGTTGGAGCCTTTGATGGCAGTGAAGATAGCTGATCAGCAGAATGAGTAACCATGTTTGTTTCATTTTAAAGTGGGGAAACGTTACGTTAGTTTCTCAGGTAGCTCATCTGATGCTTTCCTTACCTTGTTAGTAGGTTACAGACAGTGATAAGGTTGGCTACTTATTTTACTTTTAATTTCATTTGAATTAGCTTAAGCAGCGTTTATATTTTCTTTATAAATAAATTAATTTGCAAATTATGAGGGCAAGGCTTTTAAAGTTTAAATCTTCTGGCAAAGATAAAGTAAAGAAGATCCTGCAATTTATGGAAGTAAAGCAGAATAAAATCCAGCAAGATCAGTAATATGTCAATTAATTATCTGCCACATTCCCATGTAAATATCTGTCTGTGGAGGATATGTTTTTTACCACCCCTAGTTCTCTCATTTTTATTCCAAATACAATTTATAATTTGAATCACAGGGCTATTTTTATCTCTATGGTTCAGTATTTTCTCAAGTAGCAACTTTAACTGCTATACTTTCCTGTCTTAAAAGGCAGAACTCTTCTAGTCTAAAAAAACCTCATTTGTTGAAATGGGGGGGCCTGTTGTTTGAGCCCCTTAGGGGCTTTAAAAAACAAAAATGCCTGTCTCTTTTTGCGCTTTATGAAACAAAGTAGCCTATATTTTGTGGATGTACAGCTACATTTCTCATGTAAGTTTGCGTAGTTTTAAAACAAACATTTAATTTTTCATATAGCACCAGTACAGTTAATGAGCAACCTGTACTTGTGTGCTAGTTTGTTCTGTCTAAAATGTTTATTTTGGAATAAAGAGGTTAATATAAAAAAAATATTTTGTGTCCGATTCATCGATTAATCGAAAAAATAATCGGCCGATTCATCGATTTTCAAAATAATCGTTAGTTGCAGCCCTAGATTGAACTTTTAATTTCAATATTTGTATTTATCAACTGTTGTTTTTAACTAAATATTTGAATATTTAAATGTGTTGACTCTGATGGCAGCTACAACAAGTTACAAGTTAATACAAGTTTTAGAATCTCTATACTCCAGTTGACGATTAATTGATTACTAAATTAGTTAATTCATAATTAATTAATCAGGATTAATTGTTTCAGCCCTGGTTAGATGCAAACTTAAAAGAAAAAAGCTGTGCCTAAAAATGGGAAAAGTTGCAAAATGCTCTAACTTTATTTGCATTTAACATAATGCCTTAGTGAAATACATTTTTTTTTTTTTTTGGACAGTACAAATATTCTTTACCGGCAAATAATTTTATCTTCAGGTCCACTTGGCCGGTGAGTCAACAAGTTTATTTCAGCCAAATTATATAGGCTATAATAAATCTAAAAGTAAGTTGTTTGTAGCAGAATAAGCTTGGTGGTAGAAATAAATCAGATATGCCCCTGAAACTTGTTTATAATTGAACATTGATACAAAGTATTCCCAGTATCCCAGTAAGATCTGAACCAATGTAGTCCAGTATCAAAGTCCCAGCCACTGTTGTAGTCTGTCAAACTGTGCGTTAAGATTAATCGTCTAAAACGAAGCACAGAAGGTTTGACCCATCGCCATGAGAAACAGCTGTTTGATACATTTACTTCTTAGTCATGTCAATGCTGATCTGTTGTGGGCTAAATGATTAAATCCCAGAACAGAGATGTTACCTTTAAGCTGATTGAAGAAGTCACATGATTCTTCAGCACCTCTGATGAAGTACAGCTTAAAGTTTGAGCAACATAATTGAGCCCTTGGCTTCACCTTGAGCAAGTCAGAGTGAAACCTTAAGTATTTCACTTTGTTTTTCTGCCCTCTCTCCACCTGGCTTTGCTTTTCTTTTCACCCAGATCTGATCGCAAGACATCTGGTTCAGGATAGCAGCAGCTGCCAGCAAGGCTGGATTCACTACAACCTCCACCAGTATTGAATTCTGTTGAAATTGATATTGTTTCAATACATGTTTGCCTTCAATACCATATTGGATGAATCCAACAAGTATTGTGTGTATTTTGGCTCTACCGACAACTCTCTTAACCCCTGCAAAAATACTGAAGTGTAAAGCGAGAAGACGAGTGTCCTCAGGGTCGTGTTTTTGTTTTGTTTTTTTGGTGATGATTTCCTCGTCAGTTTGTGGGGAAATAAATTGCCCACATTACAGCCCTCTGGAAGCACTCTTTAGCTGTGTGCTCTTGTTCCCAGTGTTCCTCCTGGGGCCAGTTGTGCCGAGACGCCATGTGAGGACAAATTACACAGCAGCGAGACATTGTTCGGCTCAACAGAGGTTTTGCTCTTTCTGGAAGGGGCCTTGTTATGGCAGTGAATGAGACTTCAAACGCTGCCCCAATAGCTTCTGATTCACTTTGATGAATAGTTTTGCCCAGCGCCCAGTGAGCTCCAGAAACACTAGGTGTGTCTCTAAACAAAGCCATGTTAAGCCACAAAATTACAGGAACGGCACTCTGGCAGATTCAGGCTCCACTTTGCAATGAAAGACATTTTTTTTCTTCTATTGCATTTTGAGTTAAATGGACAAATCTCTATTTTCATAATCTTTACAGCAGACTGGCCATGAAACGTTGTTTTGATAGCAATTCAGAGACGAGAGAATTGTTTTAGAACAACGTATTTTTAACAGGATTGTCTTCTATTAGCAAGACGATGTGTTGTTTTCTTGGCTGCACATGCTGGCGAATGTCTAAGTTGTATGTCGAAGGTTAAAAGCCACCCGATTAAGCAGGTTATACCAGCCGAGTTTGACAGGAGGAAGCACGGTTGCCTTCAGCGCTTTACTTGTCATTCCTGCGCTCCTCTCTTGCCAGACTGGTTGGCTCCAGCTCAGTCCTGGAGGGTCTGCTCGTGTGACACCCAAGTTATTAGCAGTGACACACACACCTATACCCACCACTCTCAAGAGCACTCCCAAAGTCAATAGATTTCTCTTTTTTTATTCATTTTTGAAGTAATATTTGATGTTTTTAATGTAGATTTTTCTGTTAGAAATGTAATTCTGACAGACATGCAGCTTTAGCTTCTGGAAATTTACCACCGTCATTTTCTGAGGATGGTGTTGTGGCTGTTACAGCTGTTTAATAATCATCATGCAGCCTTGGGAGCCGGTCACGGATATGATAAAGATGAAAATGACGTGTGAATTGTTCACACTGTCAGAGGCAGCCCGTCAGCTTGCAAATATCCACAGTCTGTGTTGATCCGAAGGAGAGGGTTACTACACTTGTGTAAGATCCAAGCTCAGTTTCAGAGTGGCGACTGCAAAGAAGGGTCCTGCTCAAATAAACCTCCTGACCCCGGCATCATTTCCTCTCAGTCCTTTAGTCTGTGCTCTCCCAGTCAAAGCTGCTGCCGCTTTACCAGGAACCCGGAAGATAACCAAATGGTGTGTATACAGCGTATTATAACTAAAGGGTAAAAACACACTTCTGTTAACACATATCAATCACAAAAAGATCATCTGCTGTTATTTGCATAGTATTATCTCTGAAATTCTTTATTTTAAAGACTTGTTAAGACACATGAAGCACTTAGTACTTTCACCATCCTTATCTAAGGGTAATTAGTCTACATAAGAGCTCATATCACTTTCCTTCAAAGTCTTTGACTACAATTTCTTACACTACTAAATGAAAGCATGTCATGGCTAGCTGAGACACATCTCACTTAGTCGTTGAGGTTTGTGAAACGGTTATTTTACTGTCAACTGTTTTTTTTTATACAGTCACTGACTTGCACTAATGCCAGATAAACCATGTGTTCCAACTTGGTGTAATAATGAAGTAGATGAGCTGACAGCTTGATGAGCTGCAAATTTAATAGATGCTTCCTAGAATATGCCAATCATTGAAGAACATAATGAGGTTACCTACCCTACCCATGTATAACCTATTTATTGCTGTCAGTCATACAGGGACAAAAGTAGCGGCGAATTGTTCTTATCTGCACGGTCATTTATCAGTATTAATCTTTGTATGTATAAGATAAAAGAGTTTTGATTGAGAATCTGTCACTGTTAATTAGAGCCGGGATTTGTTCATACAAAGTATTGGTAAAGTCGAAGCCAAATATTTATGTTCACAGTAGAAAAACAAATATTTTTCTCACCCTGATTCAACTTTTAAAACACTTTCTTTTTTGATCTCATGGGAAAATTAAATATAAAGAGCCAACAAATCACAAGAACAACAGTGGCCAGCCACAAGTGTGGCTCATCCATGGGAGGAATATAGGTGCCACGTAAATCTGTTCAAACTCTTATTTTTTGTGTGTAAACAGCATGGGAATGTCCAGCCGTCGTGTCGTTCAGGAGGAAAACAAGATCCATGTCCCAGAGGTATCTACCCAAACACAAAGGCAAAACATGCTGTTAAGGCTGACCAAACTGTCATTATCTACAGTGAAACAAGTTCTCTAAGGATATGGGCTGAAAATCCACTCTGGGGGGAAGAAGTCATAATTTGAAGAGTACCTCAAAAGAGTCGGATTACAGTTTACACATGACTAAAGAGACTTATTGTACATTACATTGTACGCCCTTTGCTAAAAATATTAGAAATTCTACGCCCTGTTTTGGGGATTTTGGTATGCACTCATTTACCAGAAACTTTGCTCAAATGTTCAAAATTTGCCAAGCAGTAGTTGCTGGGGTTTAAATTAATTTTTGCTGCTCGACACGCCACATCAGCCAATCAGAGAAGCCGATCTGTGAGCTGGCAGGGAGACAGACACAGCACTGCTTATTAGGGCTGAGACAATCGGATTAATCGTAATTAATCAATTATTGAAATAATAGTCAACTAATTTAGTAATTGATTAATTGTTAACTGGAGTTTAGAGACTGTAACATATGCCTTAAGGTGACAGATCAACCAATTTAACAAAAAAACACCTTGTCTGTCAGTATGCTATGTCCGGAACTCCTCAAGTGGAATCGTTGTAGTTTCATCAGGTTTAATTTCATAAAAAGTTATTTTTAAGGAACCTTTGGCAATCCAATTATTGATCGAATAATCTAAAAGATAATTGACAGAATAATCTATTTGCAAAATAATCATAGCCCTGCATCAGCCCTACTGCTGAGTGTGAGTGTATGTATGCATGTATGTAGGCTTGTCCCGATCCGATCCACGTATCGGATCGGGGTGCCGATATTGGCAAAAAAATGCGTATCGGCAAAGCATGTAAAATGCCAATCCAGACTGCCGATCCAGTTTTTTTTTTTAAATCCGGGTCCGTATTTTCCGGTTTCGCCGATTGAAACGATCCATTCCACTATTTTGCGCCAGTGTTCCCCTGTTTTGCATTTTTATTAAAACTTACAGTAATACTTGCACCTTTAACTGTTTTACTGTTCACTGTGCAATTTCAGATTGCTATTCATAATTTTGTCCAGTTTGTGTTTATCTCTTAATAAACAGGTAAGTTTGTTGTTACCAAGCATTGTGTTTTATTCAATCTCACCTAATTTAGCTGGCTAGATGTTATCAAGAGTACTAAAACCCTTTTCAACATGAGTCTTACAACTAAGGCTAAATACTTTAACTTAAACTTAAATACATGCTCGGATAGGCTGGTATCGGCCAGTATCGGTATCGGATCGGAAGTTCAAAAACAATATCGGTATCGGATCGGAAGTGCAAAAACCTGGATCGGGACATCTCTACATGTATGTATTTGTGTGTGTATATATATATATATATATATAATAATAATAAATAAAATATTATTCAGTATTTTTAAGGATAGCTCTTTGATCTATGAGCTATAGAGGAAACTATGTTATAATGTGATTTACAAAAGTTTTTTTTACATTTTTTTTATTTAATGTTAATTTTTATTTATTTCTTGTTGTGTCTAACTAAAAGTTTTTTTCCTTATACATTTCTCTAAACTTCAGTGTATTTTTATGCAGTGTAAAGGGTTAGGGTGTATACAAATATTTGCATTCAACTTATTTGTTTAAAAATAATGACAAGCCATATATCCTTTCCACCTTTTACATCTTAGCTGTGGCTGATAAGATGACTTAATGACTTATGTAAAATGACGTCTGTTGTAGACCATGTATTATTATATTATTACCAATCAAATGTGACTCATAACTAGAGAAATTTCAATCGAAGACTGTATTGATTTTTATCAGCTTAAACATGGTACTATGCAATGAATGTCAGAAGTGTTGGCTTAAGAGTGAATATGTTTGACTAATCTGTTTAGGATTAGCATAGGACCTATCTTTAGATATTTTGTGTGACCTTGTTTGGCAGGAAAGCTCTTGAGCAGAACCTTCAAACCAGTTATAACAATATTAAATGACCAGTTTCTGTTGTATGTAAGCTGCAGACATGTAGAACCAGATTTAGAGGGTATAAAGACTGAAACAGAGTTTCTATTGAGATCCTGATTGTTGAAGGGTTTTTTCTCTCTGTGAGGTTGAGGGACTACAATGGTGACAATTATTTTTAAGATTTACTGACAGGTCAGGCAAACATGCTATCATTTACTTACCGTGGTGGTGTCCTTGAACTTTAAATTTATTCCTCAGGGTCGTTGAAGCTTTTAGTAATTTTCAACACGTGCCTCTTGTTGATGTCAGGTAATGGGATTTTAGTACACCAAGGGTTCTGTTTAGTTTCAGGGTCAGTTTGGGGCTAAAAGCAGGCAAGGTTGTATTTTTTACCCGCTGTAGGGTTTGTAGGCGTTTCATACCCAAGCAAGTGACATGTATAGATGTAAAAACATATTTTCCATGTGTTTTTATCTTTATTTTTATTTTTTTTTCAGACATTCAGGCCTATTATTTAGATGGGGAACTCCCCTGTTAGTCCTCTTACATTGAGATCGGACCCCCTCTTCTTCTCCCCTCTTACAAAAGGAGCCGACCAGCCCTCTTGTAGGGCTGGCTGACTGTCTGTCTGTGTTGGTGTCATTGAGACGTGCTTGGTGCTTACACTCTCTCTTATTTGTCTCAATGTAGAGTGACCCATCACTGCTGCTATGTCAAGGAGATGGAGGCAACCAATCATATCTGGCTCAGGAAGCCACACTGAGCCAATGGGGACCAGACTCCCCATGGTAACTTGTGCTTAAAAGCCCTGGTCTAACCAATAAAAATAGAGAATGGAGCTTGGCTTTTAGAGTTTAATGGCCTGCTGCCATTAATAAAACGATATAACCTCTGATGTTGAGTTTTATGTTTTCAGCCAGCATGAATCGTTCTGCACAGAGATGGTGCTGTTAAAAAATGCTAAAAACTAGGACACTGACGTTTGTGTATCAATATCTGTTCACTGGTAGAACAAGTCTACAGTGGAACTCGCACTCCTCCAAACATGTTTTAACGTTTACCATCTCCTCTGCTTCACCATAACTTTGACTTCATTGGTTTGAGCCCAGGCATAGCTTTTAGCATAAAGTGGGTCACTTCAGCGCAGAAGGGAGTCAGGCTCAGGTTTTCATGGTTACTACCTCACACTCATTATTTTAGCCTGTCTCTGCCAGGCAAAGCTACTCTGCTCTCCACCAAATTCTGTTGCTCTCCGCACTGTCCCCTCCTTATGTAATGGCTGAGCAGCAAGCAGTGTGTGTCATAGCTGTTTCCATGGTAAGAGTAGCTGAGACTGTATCACAACACAGCATGTGCCAGCTGTGGTACCTACGCTGGAAAAGACTGGAATTTACATTTCAAACGTGTATCTGAGATCAGATTCTTTTACGAGCCTAAAGCTAAACAGTGTGTTTTGAGTTCCTTTGATCTTTTTTTTTTTTCTATTTGAAAACGACAGCCTACAATTTACGTTGTTTTTTGTTTTGTTTTTGTGAAGAAATCAAAAACAAATTAGTGCATGATTGTAACTAGATACATTTTCTTGGCTTACATTTAAATGTTTGTTCCCTTTTGTTTTGACTAAAATGTTTCTGCATGTTTGTGACCATTTTTACTAGGATAATGGTAAATAGTAAAATAAGGAAAATATTTTCTTAAGTTACAAAAACGCCTTATGTATATGGAATGACAAAAACCTGTTAATTTGTTGCAGCTCTACATGCTGGATGGCCAAGTTTATGCCATTCTTTAACTGTGTCAGTGCCACAGATTTCACCCGAATGAGACAAAATATTGTAATTTAAGGCAGCATAGATACTTTTCTCATACTGTATTTCTCAAACAAGGTTGCTTTTTTGCATGCTTTTTATTTTTATACTTTTATTTCTTTAGTTTTTACATGCTAGTGTACTCTAGCCCCCTTTTATATATTAAAACCCAGGCCCATTAGCTGCTGACAGATTTTCTAAGGACAGTGGTAATTAATAAGACATTACTGCACTTTGATTTAATAATTGATAGTTTTTCATCAAGTGCCCTAAAATTCTGCTTGTGGCATCTCAAGTAGAAGAAGGAGCAGTTTTTTTGGGATGCATTTATGTTGATTTTAGGAGACCCCTTCTAACTTTAAGGCTTTTTTTTTTTTTATCTGTATCAGATTTATTATTTGTAAGTTGCAGTTTCCCTCTGACTGTGGTAGAAAAGCTGCTTCATTGATATAATAAGGTGTCCTTTCTTTTATGTGTCTGGGATCTACTGGAGTTCTTTTTAGGTCATTGTAATGTCTGTGAAGAGAACAGCGCGCCAGTGGTGAATTTGCCAATCCTGGTGTTCTCTGATGAATGCCAAGTGTCCTGCAAGGTGTTGCGCTGTGTGCTCAATCCCCATCTGTGGACATCAGGCCCTCATACCATTCTCATGGAGTCAGTTTCAAACCGTTTTTGTGCAGCACATGCACCTTTGTGGCCTGCTGGAGATCATTTTTGCAGGGCTCCGGCAGTGCTCCTCCTGTTCCTCCTCGCACAAACGCAGAGGTAGCAGTCCTGCTGCTGGGTTGTTGCCCTCCTATGGCCTCCTAAGTCTCTTGGTGTACGAGCCTGTCTCTGGATACTGCCTCCAGCCTCTGGAGACTATGCTGACAGCCACTTGTGTGGGTGGCAGAGTCCATCTCATGCTACCACAAGTGTGAAAGTACCATCAACATTCAAAAGTGAACTAAACCAGGCAGAAAGCATGGGTACTGAGAAGTTGTCTATCGTCCCCAATTGCAGAAGCACACCTTTAATGATTCGATCTTGCAGAAGTTTGATTTAGTTTTATTGTAGTGTTTACGTACCCGCTTATTTTTTGGAGCAATGTATTATCTGAGTATGGTCAGTTAATTGGAATGATAAAGGCATTGGCTTTGAAGCTATTCCATCTTCTGGACAAGCAATATCCTAAGGATTTTAATTATTCTTTTTTCCTCCTAATTAAACAAATAAAAGCCTGTACTTTAAATTTGCAACACTTCCCAACTCAAACCTGGCTCCCTGCCATGTTTATGCTTCTCGGTTCAACTGTTTGGAACCCTCAGGACACCAGAGAGACTTCGTAATAAAACTTCTGCTTTAAACGTCCAACCTTGAATAGATTTAGGAATGCATTTAGCAAAAACCTTAGTCCTTTATCATTTTGCTCAACAGAGATAATGCATCTTTTATTAGCCACGTTTTATTTTTAAATCACCTCAAACTGTGCAAGTTTTGATTACTGCATTTCGTTTTTGATGGACTTCAAACATGCCTGCTGAATTTTGCCCGTACAGTGACGCAGACGCATGTTGTGACTGTAAACTCTCTCTATTCTTAATGTGAGCTAGCTTTACTTGGTTTTGTGTAGCGAATGGGGTTTTCTCAATACATGGTTGAGCGCACAGTTTGTTGCTGCAGGCAAAGTGCGGTGCTCTCATTTCAGTCTCTCTGGGGAGAACTGTGCCATCGGAGAGAAATGATTGAATCTCTACCTCTGCTCCATTTTCACTCATTTCTCCTGGACTGGAGCTTGCCGTGTTTGTGTCTGTCTGTGTGTATTTGTGTATGTGTGCTCTATGCAGATAACCATATGAGCCCTTACTTAGTCCTACATTGTCATCCTTTCACATACCTTTGTTTTCTTAGATTTTGCAAAGTCATTTAGGCAGTGAAATAGCTGTTTCATTTGTAAGAGATATTTTTCCTGTGTGCTCTTATTTGCAGACGCTGATATGCATTGAGAATGAGTGGAGTCGGTGAAAACTCATCTGACCCTGCAAGGGCAGAAGCACGAAAACGCAAGGAATGCTCTGCTGAACTCATAGGACCCAGGTAAGCTTCAAGAATGATCAAATCCTACTTATTCTGTCTTATACCCACATCCTGAGATTTTAGATTTTCTTCTTTTTATTCATTTTTAATTTAAAGTCACAGTAGGTGAAACTTTTTTGGAACTTAAGAGGGAACTTGATTAAGAAGGGGGCCAGGTCCTTCCCTCCCCTTAGCCTTTTCAGATTCTAATTGATTGTTTAGTATGCATGGTTTTAGGCAAGAATGGGAAATTTTTCTGCCAATAATTTAGGTAATTATGTATTTAATGCTCAAAAGTCTTGTCCCCTCATCAGAAAAAAGGCTTATAAGACTGATTTGTCTTTGATAAGGCATGTAATTTCTAATTTCATAAAGGACAGAGACTATCGAAATGCGTATCGAAATGCGTATCGAAATGCGTATCGAAATGCGTATCGAAACCAAATGTAACTTCATAAAATATGTGTGACATGGAGGAATTTAGTTGTATTATTGGTTTATAGTGAAAAAGGATGGGGATGAAAGACAATTGGCTAAGGGGTGAAGGTACTTGAGCTATCAAGAAACCACTCGGCTATCAATTTCCTTTGCTTTCAAAAGTTTTTTTTACCAACCAAAATGTCATTGGAAGGTATAGTACAAAGTTTTTTTTTAATACAAAATAAAACAAATGTACAGCACAGAGGGGATCTGGTTTCATTGGATGTTGCAAGATGTCAAATATAGAATAAAAAACAGAATTTTCAAAAATTGGCAAGTGAGCCCCAATCACAAGTTGGGTCAACATCTGGCTGCATTTGTACCACCTTTACATTAGATAAGTCCACCAGATGGAGAATCTTAAGGTAAAAAAGTGAAGGATAATCACACATTGAAGTACGTACCTGGCCAATAATAGTATCCCACAGTTCATAGGTTATATCAAGCTTGCAAACTGTTTACCCATTTATAAATCAGCAAAAGATTTATAAACCTGCCTAATGTGGAATACATTTTCTAGAATGTAACGGACAAATAACCGATTTCCCGCAAATGGACTTGAGAAACACTGAAGACCCCAACGTTTTCTAGTATGAGACCAGATTAATTAAAGCCTTATGAACTACTCTGTTTTTGGTTAAATAAAAACAAGGCATAAGAAAGCGGTGAACTCAACATGGCAGACAAAAAAAATATATTATCCATGTAGAACTACCTTACAATCCAGACTGGTACAGCAATAATTCAATTTCTACAGTCAGGTAGTAGTACTGAAAGTTAGTTTGTGCTACACCACTTATCATCATAGGGCTCTGAAAGAAAACCTTCCTTCCTGGAATATTTACTTTTAAAAGAAATTTACCGAATCAACTTGGTTAAAAAGAAAGACTTAGGAATCAAAATGCTGTGACAAAAATAAATAAAAAATTAAGTCATTAAATTACTTTAAGATAATGAAGGGATATTTTCAGCCATGAACTTTATCATTAATCGCAATTAATTAGCTCTTCTTCATATTGATTTTATAACTAGAAATATTACTGAAATCTTCCTTTATTGATTACCGAAGGTAAGGAAGAGGAATAAAAAAAGAAACTATTAAAGAACATCAACGTAGAGGAACACTTGATGCCACACCTCCTAATACACTAGTAAAGTCCCCACTGTTGCAGACTGCTATTGCTAGCACAGATTGCACAGAAAGCTCTGCTTTGTTCCTAAGTGAAGCTGAAAATAGTCAGTGTCGACATTTAGTTAAAACTGAGGCGGAATGGCCGATGTAGAAAAGCTTAATCCAGGAAAAAATAATTGGCAAACTCTTTGAAATAAAAATAAAAAGAAATTATCCCAATTAAACCTATTGACTGCTTTTTAGTATCCATAGCATTCAGGTATTTGAGGTCAGAAGTCTAAATGCTATTGAAAAGCTTTCTAATGATAAAAAGAATGGTGATTCTTAATAAAACCTGTTGGGCAATATTATGGAATGAAGGATATTCTCAACCACAGGAGGTTTAAAAACCAATTCAAATTGTTTTCAAAAGAGATATAGGCCTATAAGAAGCACATTTAGCAGGATCATTATCATTTTAAAGCAGCATTGAAATACCTTTACCCCGGTTTAATGTGGGAAGGACACCAGAGCTAAACGACAATTTCAAAGAAAACAAGCAATGTCATCAAAAATGTTTTTGGAAAAAATCAGTGGGAAACCTGTCAAAGAGGATTTCCCGCGACTGCATATGTAATATTGTAAAATGTATTTCCTCTTTTTATGATGGGAACATTAATAGTTTCTATTAGGTTATCTGGCAATTAATGTCACTTTAATAGACAACAAAATCATGCAAGTATTTTAAACTTGCATAATGACTTGAATATGTCTTTAATCTTGAGGAGAGTGGAGTTGGCATATGTTACACCTCCAAAGAAATTCAGGGTGGAGGGAATGGAATGACCCAAACAAACTCATTTTGCGGGTACTCTTATTTCTAGAGTAACCAATTCAAATACATTGGCTGACTTGAGGCAGAAACTTGATGAACCAAAGGATCCTACATGTGAGACACATCTGATGACCGCATGAGAAGATTAAATATATTAAGACAGCTGCACTTTAATTACAATCTAAAATGGGTAGAATTACATAGACCCATCAATCTAGGTACACTGCGTAAGATATTTGCTGTTTTAAACTGTAGATATTTATATTTGTGTAATTCTGACTAGGTGAGTTTGAACATAAGATTGAAGAACCTGCCTGCTGTCTCAGAAATCGGGTTTGGGATTTAAAGACTTTATAATCAGTCACTTCTTTGTATAAAACTAGTCCACAAGTGGAGTTCCTTTAGAAAAAGCTACTGAACTGCTCGCATCCTATCATGCATTGGTTGACCCCAACAAATGCTGCAGGTTGCTAAAAGGTGTCTAAAGTCATCTTCGGACTTAAATAATTGGGGTATTTTTTATATATATGGAGCCGATTAACCGTCCTCTAACTTGTTCTATTCGCATTTCAAGTCATTTACTTGAATTCCGTGTTGATATGAATGTGCATTCTTTTATAATTAGAAATATGCTAGAGTAGTTTAACTGCCCCATAAAGTGTGCAAAGGGGAAATGTTTACTCTCTTAGAAAAGATTAACGCAAGCCACAAGGAAGGAAGTAATAGACCAGGAGACTGAATAATGATTGGATGGCAAGTTCAACACTGAATTATCTGGACCCTAGAAAACATCTTAAAAACAATCCAAAGGCTGTGTATGACTGAAGGAATCTTATACCGTCTGTAAAGTAAGGAAGTGGATGGACAATGGTGTCACTTTTAGAGAAACAACCATAGATCCTACAGAGGAGGAGAGTTCTTGATTAAAATGAGAAACCATCTGTATAACAAGAAGAAAATTGCAGCAGTCCAAAACATACCAGTTCATTCAACAAAGACTTAAGAGAAGGGAAGTCCTAAAATAGGTTTTAACTTGAGATCAATATTCTTTTAAGATGCTGAGAGGTAGTTTGAAAAGGGCTCTACTTGCAAGAAAACCCTAGATACAAGTCAGAAATGGGACGATGGCTTCAAGAAACATCTCAACAAATGTATTTCAGCAGCAGAGGGCAAAGTCAGGTTTTAAGTAGCCTAATATTAAATGGTTTTCACATAACTTTCTCTCATAACTTGCTTTTTTTGGTGGTTAATCTTCCTTATGTTGTATGTTTCTACAGTCCCAAGAGGAGCAACGAGAAGCGCAACCGTGAGCATGAGAACAAATACATCGAGGAGCTCGCCGAGCTGATCTTCGCCAATTTTAACGACATTGACAACTTCAACGTCAAACCTGACAAATGTGCAATCCTGAAGGAAACTGTGAAACAGATCAGGCAAATAAAGGAGCAAGGTACGAGTTACATCATCACGTCTTTGACACGTGCATGCCGAGGAAAGTGAAAAACGTATTGGATCCTAACAACAAAAGTGAAAGCATGTTAAGAGTTATATTGATTTATTTTTAGTTTACAGCCATTTGCAATAAAAGGTGGTGCAGGCAGATTAATCGATCTGTTTATTGTGTTAAAAGTAAAAACAAGTTTTTGTAGAGCATAAGAACCCTGCAAATCTTAACATCAGACTGCAAAATCACTCCACCGTAACACATTGAAGTTATTTTCTTGTGCAAATCCCTTCTGTATCCAGTTAGCTCAGTAAAGTTGGTATAAATCTCATTCTATTGACTAATGTCTCTCTCTATATATATTTTTTATTTTATTTTCAATTTTAGCAAAAAAATCAGTGGAGACTTTTTTTTCTTGAAGGTCATAAAAATGCTCTCTTTTCTTGAAGTTAGAGACTAATACAAGCTTTGTCCTTTTCTTCTGAATCAGCGTGTGTTGCCTAAAAAAGCTTTGGTTTTTAAAGCAGCATGAATCAAACCATTTGATGATGTCACTTTGATCAATTTGACTCATAGAGCTGGGTGGTATGTAGAAGGCACTAAAGTGACGCAAGGAATGCACTCCTACTCAAACTTCCATGAGTCTGCCCCTGTACTCTTTCTGCCCCCCGCACCCACACACAGTGAAAGACACTCCTCATCATCCTTTTCTTCTTCTCTGTGCTCCGTAGGTCAGTGGTCAGTGGTCAGAAAAGGAAAAGGAGATGCTGAGCAATGTGCTCTTAAGGAATTGTGTGAGGTTATTTTAATTGCACAATTTTTCATTATACACAAAGGTTAAGTGTTAATTTTAAAAGTACAGTTCTAATCAAATGTCATTTTATTTCTTTTGGGCTGTAGCTGTAAAAAGGCCTTCGGTTAACAGGGTTTCCACGGGTCCTTAAAAATCATCAAAATTTAATTAAACTATTACTTTTTTAATTAAGGCCTTAATTGGCAATACAATTAATTAAATGTGATTATCATGGCATTTAGAATGCTTTATTAAAAAAAAAAAACATTTATACAAACAATTTTGTTAGATATATCAGATATAACTGCTTCCGGTTGATCGTTAAGCCGTATGTTCGTATAAGAAACTCGAGGCAAATAAAAAGCTAGGGAAAATGCAAATTGCAACAAAAGCGGCTGGAAAATGAGGAATTCAGGACTTGGCTGCAGCCTGTCGACGGTAAAGATGACAAAGGATTTTGCCGTGGTATATATGAGAATCATGGGTACTTGTTGATGGCATTACAATTAGTTCTAAGAGCGTTAAAAGAGCATTAAAACGTATTAAATTCGAGTTACTCATTCCTGTATAAACCCTGATTAACCTTTTGTTGCTGTAGTCTAATAAGTCTGCAAATATTTCAGTAGCATCCACCTTTTAATTAAGCTGCATGATTTTATAAGAGAAGAAAAAAATTCCAACATTAGTAGATAATTGGTTTTAAATAAATTATTTTCTTTCCAATGTTTACTGGAATCCCTAAAAGTTTCTGTCAAATAAGCCTGAAGGATATCTGTTGTCTTTTTTTTTTTAAGTTGGTAATTGAAATTTTCTCTGTAATAAAATATACTTGAAAGATACATTCCTACTGGTAATGCTTCAAAAGGACTAGAGAACGTAGGCAAATATGGGCTTATGTATATAGGCGAGTAGATCTGTGCAAGAAAATGGCTGCTGGCCTGTATTTGCTCATATCTTTAGTCAGACTTAGAATTTACAGGGTTTCTGCAAGTCATTAAAAATCATTAAAAGTCATTAAATTATTATTTTCTAAATTAAGGCCTTAAATGGCATTAAAATTCATTAAATGTATTTATTGTGGCATTTAAAATATTTTATTTAAAAAAAAAGTTTATAAAAACAATTTCGTCCGACATATCAAGATATATTTGCGTGGAACTGCTTCCGGTTGATCGCAAAGCTGTATGTTCAGAAAAGAAGCTTGAGTCGGAGAAAAAGCTAAAGAATGTGGGGAAAAACACTAATTTCCTGCAGGCTGTCGACGAGTACCTGTTGGTGGCATTAAAATTATTTCTAAGAGCATTAGAAGAGCATTAAAAGCATTAAATTTGAGTTTTTCATTCCTGTATAAACCCTGATTTAGGCTGAATTTCCCTACAAACCTGTGTAAGATTATGTTTTTCTTCTTATATTGGCTATAGAGGTAGGATATTTTTTGCAAGAAAAGAAATTCTAATAAATTCAATAAGCATTTATAAACAGCTTCTCGTATTTACGTTGGATACTTCTGATTCTTTTTTTTTCCTGATTCTTTTTTTTTCTTTTTTTCAATCTGAAAATATTTAAGTGCCCCAAAAAGCTAAAGCAGAAGAAAACTGTAGGAGGGTAAAAGTCTTTTCACAGAATTATATGCTGCCTACAAAAAAATACACCTTTCCATTATTTATTAATTAGTTGCCACTACTAGCTTTGTTTAATATTCATAAATAACACTAAAAAAAGAAACTCTTTAGTTGATTAAGAGAACTGCAAATATATTTCGGTAGTTTCATATTATTTAGTTGTTAATATGTTACAAAATCCTTTTAATTGATCGGTCGCTCCTGCTTTCTGTGGCACAGCGCCACACTTCTGTAGAAAGACACAAAGCCAGGGAAGTCGGCCATGACACTGAGTGATGGGTCTGCACTCAGGGCAGCTGTGTTGGTCTGCAGGACCCCGCTGGGCCTGAAAAGGTCCTGCTGATGCATGAATCATTAATGCTGAAAGAGATTAATACTTTTCTGTGGGCTGTTGCACAAACCCACAGCACAGAGGGAAACCTGTGTTTGTGTTAACTTTCACACATTCATAACCATAAAAAGGAAAAGCGTGATTCTGTTTGCTTCTCGGCACAATCTTTTGTCACCATATGGTCAGCTCTCTCTTTGGCGTGGTGCACCCGTTCAATGCCCCCCCTCCCCTTCAAAAAACAGCCCACTCATATTCTGTGTCTCATCTTCGACTTGGAAAGTAGGGCAGCCTATGCTCTAAACATAAGGCCTCTCTGCATGTTTATTAACCCAGTCACACAGAGAAATGCATAGATGGATTGTTTGTGTTTTTCAAGGGTTTGGTTTATTAAATATGTGAATTTTGTTTTTAACCCAAGTATCTGCTTTGTTCACATTTTTAACCGGCTTTAGGAGTCTAGAATGATTAGAATCATTTAAGCATTAGTCTTCATATTTTATACCAAGACCAAGAAAGTATAACTGAAAACCTCCAGAAAATTTGTTTTTTGAATAATGCTAGTAATTTAACTAGACCGGTGTTTTAGGTGAAAATAAACCTCAAGAACCAATATTTTGTTTTTATTATTTTTATTTATTTATTGTCAAAGTAGGATATCTGCATTTTAACCATTATATAATTTTTTTTCTGTACATTTTGTTAATTTGTAATAAATTGTAGGGTCTGGACCACAACTTTGGGATAGAGCAGTAAATTATAGGTGTTAATTCCTTACCTTTACTCAACTCCTCAACCTTTTTTTAATCTTGCATGTTCCATTGCAGGCAAATTTTAAAAGCAAATTAAGATTAAAGCTGAGCTATTTTGTTGAACTGATTGGCCTTCCTGTTATCTGCTAAAAGTCTTGCTCTCCCTCACCTCATCAAAAACTGAATGAAAAAGACACATCTACAGATGTCCGATGGCTGTTTTCCACTAGTCCTTAATCTGTCCATTTTAACATGGGTCTTTGCTCTTTTTAGTCTTTTCCTTTAGCAACTTTTATGTGGAAACGTGTGGAAGTTTCTGATTGGCTGTTTAGTAGTTTAACCAGTACCATTGTTTTTGAATTAGTTTTATCCTGTTCACTGTTTGAAGATTTAAAACATGTTTCATATATAGTGCAAATTCACACAAAAAAAGATCCTATCTGTTGTGAGTAAATTTGTCTATCTAATTTTTAAAAAATCTCTAAATTTATTTGACAAATGCATATTTTAAGAAGCTGCCCAACTTTTAAGCTTTAAATTATCTGATGTAATTCCATAATATAATTGATTATAAACCTGATTAGATAAGTTCTTGGTGTGAGTTAAGTCAAACATTCTGCCCCTCCTACTTGTGTCCCTGGGTACAATTTGTTCCCCTATTTTGTACAGGAGTTGTTTACACATTATCCTTGTTCCATATTAGCCCTTTTTTTTTTCTTCACATGACTGTAATCTATCCAGTGTCTGTCACCGGTGTGGCAGCCGTGCGCTCTGACACGCTCGTTTACAACAACCTTTCACTCTATTTGCTGCTCCGTGCTTGGGCTGAAGCCATGGCCGCATGTTTTCACAAAGGGGACCAAACGTGTTTGCTTTGTTACCAGATGGATACTTGTTCAAATCCCTGTCAGCAGGTGACCTCTTTAAAAGTATCTGGGCCGGCTGCAGGGGGAAATGAAGAATTGTTTCTCTGTGCTTCTACTATGTGACCTCTATGTTTTGCCTTTGTGTTTTTGTTTTTTTGTCATTGTATGAATTCAATCTGTGTATCTGGTTATTAAGTTTGCATTATTGACTTCTGTGATAACAGAAAAGGCGGCAGCAGCAAACGAGGAGGAGGTGCAGAAGGCTGATGTCTCATCAACAGGCCAAAGTGTGATTGACAAAGATGCCTTGGGACCAATGATGCTGGAGGTGGGTGGATTGTCCATTTAATCATTATGTCATCCGCAGTGCCTCACAGAATCTATTTATACCCTTTTGTTTTTCAGCCAAATTCGTATTAGTATTTTTACTGTAATTGAATTATTCTTGTAGTTTTTTAGAATATATAACAAAGTTCTTTTCACATGGGCAGGCTAAAATGTTTATATCCATCTATGCAGTCCTTGTGAATTTGAACTCATGCCTCCCCCAAAGCAAGATCCTGCCACTGTGTCTCATTGTGGGCAATTGATGATTTTTAGGGTTGGTGTTTCTCACACATGAGCTGTTTTTCTCCTTGTGACTCTTCAATTACTGTCAGATTTATGGAGACCATGGCTAATAGTGATCCTGTGAACAGATTCTCCTTTTTTTCTCTTACTTTGTAAATTTGGAAAGTTCTGTGTCCCTTTCCTTCCATAGCACAGCTATGTCTCACAGCGTGTTGGTTTAGTACAAATCAATATTTGTTTTCTTATTAAGATGAAGAAAATGTTCAATGGGTGTGAATACTTTTCCGTGGTGCTTTAGAGTTAAGGAGGTTTCACTGTACTGAAGGATAATTTTCTAAAGTGTCACTAGCGGAAATTCTCCACCGCAGGAAAAAGTCAACTCTTGAAGGGCTGATTTTATCTCTAATGAAGAGCACCATTCACAAAGAACAATCACAGCTGCACCAGTAGTGGTTATGTCAGAGTGTGGCTGTGTGAAGTGTAAGCTGCCAGCATCTTGCATCCGCCCCTGATTGGCTGTAAATCAGCAAGCAGGGCAATGTCCTCGTCGTACGACGGAGAGCCAGTGAAGTGCTTACTTATAAAAGAAAGCAACAGCCAGTTGGATGAATCAGTCCATTGAGCGTGTCCGCTCACCCATTTCCACCCTCCCAAGCTCACTCTGATCTCTCTTCCCATCTTCCCTTCGTTCGCCTCTAGATCCGTCCTGTCATGGAATATTTATAGCACTTCTGGTCCAGCGTCACTGAATCGACACACTAACTCGCAGCTAAATATAGCCCAGTGCAGCCTGCGTGCTTTCCCATCTGTCAGCAGTCCCAAAAACACGGCGATAGTCCATTCACACCAGCTCCCTTCCAGGACATGTTCACTTTCGCAATCTGGGCTCATTACAGCCCACTCAGAGGAGAAAGGCCTGCGGCAGGATGAAGCTTCCACACGACCCCCACCCCGTGTGTGAGACTCTGCTTTTCCAAATGCAGAGAGAGATGGAGGAATGTGGGGAAACATTTTTGTGCTGCTCTTTTAACCTTCTGCGGACATGTTCATTACATCACGTCACTGTTGCGTATCAAGTGCCCTAAAAAGTTTTCATATTTTGTCTTTTTTTTGCCATAAGCAATGACAAACTTCATTCTTTTTATATGGAGAATTTGTTTGACCAGCAATTAAATGTTTAACATAATTGCATAACTGAAGTTTTTTTTTTTTTTTTACAAAGTTCAAACCATTAAATGCTTGTCAATTTAAAAAGATAAAGTCAAAGCCCTGGAGGGTTTTAGAAAACTGCCATGAAAAAACACCTGCCTTGAAAGTACTTAAATGGTTTAATGTGTTTGAGATTTCACACTAATAGCGGTGTTATCAGTGCGTCATTATTTTTCGTTTAGCGCTGCATTCTTGTTTCCTCTATGTAGTCAGAGTAGTTAACATGGAATCTTCTTTCAGGGGAATCTGTGGATTGCCAGTCACTTTGAGTCAGAGTCATTGGGCCTCATGCAAGATCAGTTCGTACGAACAAATTGGTTCTAAAATCGTTGGTAAGGGTGATTTTGGAGAAAATGTCATTCACCATATTTCTCCTTTTTTGAATTTTCTCTCAGATATGAACAAATTTTATGAGGGATACAGACTTGATGTAGGAGTCTTGCACAGTTAGTCACCTTTTAACTAAATGACTATAGTTGTTTTCCCTAGAAGCAATGGTCCATTTTATTAGGCTACATTATTATATATTATGCAACTCTCCAATTATACATTCAAAATGTATTCCCTTGGTCACTGTGCCTGCATCCGGCATGTTGGTATCCAGATGATACTGCTTTAATTTTTTTGTCATTTCCTAAAGAGAGAACAGTTAGAGATAAAGCTACTATTGAAACTGCTGGGCCACTGACTGGACCGAACCGGGCATTCGAACCGAGCCGTGAGCTCTGGGGCTGGTCTGACACGACCCGGTGACGGTATGCTTTCCCCCCTGCCTGCCTTACCGTGCTTCCCCCGGCCACGTTGGGTTTCGTCGCTTTGTCCCTTGCTGGCCCCCTGTCCCCGTCCACCTGGGTTGTCGGACCCACCCCGGAGCTGATGGCTCGGTTCGAATGCCCGGTGTGTTTCGACTACGTGCTGCACTCTATCAATCTATCGCTGATGAGGCCCACCACTGTGGTGTCATCTGCAAACTTCAAAATGTGATTGGTGGTGAACCTGGGGACGCAGTTGTGTGTCATCAGGGTGAACAACAGGGGGCTCAGGATGCAGCCCTGATGTTGCATTTCTGCTCAGTTCTGTCAGACCTTGATCTTGAACGTGTGAACCATTCCTGTGAACACCTGTGTGTTCATTCAGAGGCATGGGAATTCATAGCATTATATGAAATAATTGGGGCAGTGTTTATGCAGATTTAGATTTCACAGAAAGCACCATGACATACAAACAGCTGGACTGCATTACGCTTACGAGGATCTTTTACAATAATTTACGAAACAAAATAACGTTTGTTTAATCTGACATGTCTCGTTCTTAAGTCTGAGAAAAAGTAGGAGAAATGTACTTGAAGAGCAAGAAAATGTTGCATGAGGCCCATTGAGTCTGTATCAAAATGCAATGCACTAAACATGTACATTTCAGGATGCATGGTTTTCAAAAGAAAGCTATACTGAGTGGTTGTCCAAGACAATGAGCAGTCGACTTCCTGCTAATCAAAGTTGAGAGCATGGACAAATCTACATTGTCAAGCCATTCTACATGAGCTCTTCACAAAACTTCTTTTAAATTGGAAGCATGTAGGTAATGTACTAACATTTGCATTCCTAACATGATATATAAATTCCCTATGTAGAATACTGGCCTATCTAGTGTGCCAGTGAATGATCGAAACTTGTTTTGGGGTATTGTATTGTTAGAAAGAGCTACAACCAAAACCTTCCATTATGGGGAAACTAAAAAAAATGGGGTTTGAGTTTGGCAAGATGTCCCTAAAAATAGGCCAGGTTACTAAGATGGTTATAAAGTAAGACTTTATAACCAT